GGGTGATGAGCATTTTTTAGTGTGATTACTAGCCATTTGTACTTCTTCTGCGAACTATCTGCTTAATTCATTTGCTCATTTATGATTTGATTTTTTTGCTGTTTTACTTTTAGAACTCTTTGTATATTATGACTAGTAATCCTTTGTCTGATGAATAGCTGGCAGAGTTTTTCTCCATTCTATGTGTTGTGTCTTTATTTTGACAATAATTTCCTTTGATATTTAGAAGCTTTTTTTTTGCTCTTATTTCCTGGGCAATTGGAGTTTTGTTTAGAAAGAAATGGCTTCTGTCTATATATTTAAGCATTTTCTGGAAGTTTTCCTTATTAGTTTCAAAGTTTCAAGTCTTACGTTAAGATCTTTAACTGAATTTGTACAGGTTAAGAGCTAGAGATCAAGTTTTCATTTTAGCATGTAGCTAACCAATTTTTTTCCAGCACTATTTGTCCAAGATACTGTCTTTTCTTTAGCCTATGCTTTTTTTGTTTTTTTTTTTTTTTTGGTCCCGTCCTGGGGCCTGAACTCGGGCATGGGCACTGTCCCTCAGCTTTCAGCTCAAGGCTAGTGCTCTACCACTTGAGCCACAGCGCTACTTCTGGCTTTTTTCTTTATATGGTGCTGAGGAATCGAGCCCAGGGCTTCATGCATGCAAGGCAAGTGCTCTACCACTGAGCCACCTTCCCAGCCCCTAGCCTATGCTTTTTTGGGGGTGGACCTTTGTTAAACAAAGGCCATATGTCTGTATCTGTGTAACTGGGTTTATTTCTAAGTCTTCTAGTCCATGGGTTTTCATGTTTGTTTTGTGCCATTGCTTTTGTTGTTATGACTCTGAAGTAGAATTTGAAGTCAGATATTTTAATACCTAGAGCATTGCTCCTTTTCCTCAGTGTGGCTGAGGTTCCTATATGAATTTTAGGATTGATTTTTTTTCTATTTTTGTGAAGAATGACATTGGGATTTTGAGGAGTAGATGAAGAGATTTTTCAGCAGTGTCAGTTCTCAAGGTCAGGGAGGATGTGAGAGAAGACAGAAACAGTTATGTTTTCCAGACAGTAAGGATGAGAGGGAAGTGGCTCTGTCAGCAATGAGGGTAATCTTCATCACTGAGGACTTGGCTTTGCAACCCACTAGTCAGGAGCTGGGGGAAATAAACACTTGCTAGGGACAGGAGGTGGAACTGAAGTAATGACTTTGTGAATGCTGTCTTACGGATATGTAGCATCCGGGGCCCTTTTATGATCTTGAGGAGGAGACTGGAAGCCTCATCTTTAACCTTGGAGAGACACAGGAATTTTACTCTTTTTAGAGGGTCAATCTGAGGAGCTGTAGACAAAAGTCCCCAGGTCCTTCTGGGGACAAAGGGACCAGTCTGGTACAGAAGAGAAGTGAGCAAAAATGTTCTAGAAAAAATATGATGGCTTGAAACTGCAAAGTATTAGCATTCAGGTTTAAACACCACCCAGCCCTCTGCCAGTTGCTTGTAGTGCCATTTTCACTAGTGAAATGGATCTATCAGTGAGAAAATTCTGAGAATCCTAACATCTTGTGGTCACCTACCAAAATGTTCTACTGGGGTCATTCTTTGTTGGACTCACATCATCCAAACAATGAAGACTTTGAATGACCTCTGTATCCTCATGTATAAATATAAGCACATAGCCAAGGATAGCAAATTATCTTCAGAAAGCCTCTAACTTGAAGGTAGATTTGAAACATAGACAAAGAGCAAACAAAACAAATGAGCTGAATTTGAAGTATACTGGAATTCATATAAGAAGCTATAAACTTAAACAGTCCTCAAATGATGAGAAAAAATATGACATTTAAAATACAGGAACAGGTATATTCAGAGAATAATAACAGCAACCACACGACCATTCCAGAAATGAAAATGTATCAGCAATGAAATATTAAATATAATGGCTGGGAGGAAGAATTGAAATGGAATGCTGTTTTTCAAAATAGAACCAAAGGCAAAGAGATATACGAAATAGAAACAAAAAGCAAAACCAATATCTATTAGAGCTTTAATTTTGGAGATTCACTATTCAAATAATAGAAATTCCAAAGTGGAATACCTCTGTGCCCAACAAAATGATGGGAATAAAGTGATATCAAATAAAAATAGCAAAATTTTGGAAGAAGAGATGAAAAGATTATAAAAGTGCCTATGTACACATTCATGGACATGAACATGGACACACAGGTTATATTAGCAGAATCAAGAGAAAAATGTGGCCAGACTTCTCAAGAATGGCTTTGGAAAATCAGGCATAGAAGGTTCTGAGTTCAAAACAAGTAATAAAAAAAGAGATAAATAAATACACTCATATATATATACACATTTCAAAATTTTAGCTTTCACCGGGTGACGTATGTGTGATTTATGCCTATAATCCCTGGTAGTTGAGAGGTAGAGATTAGAGATCCAGGAGTAAAATTTATGGCTAGACTGTACAAAAAGTCATTGAGACCTCATCTGTATCAACCAGCTAGCTATGGTATTAATCCCAGCTACATGAATGACATAGTAGAAAGATCAAGTTTCAAGACTAGCCCCAGGCAAAACTATGAAGCCCTATCTAAAAAATAAACAAAGAATAAGG